TGATAGTAAAGAGTACACACACACACACACACACACACACACACACACACACACACACACACACAGTGAAACTCTTATGTACAGCAGCCCCACATCTGGCTCCTCATTCAGCCTCTGGCTAATTGAAAGACAGCTCGTAAAACAAGCTCGATGACAACAACATTGAATGTTTGACATTGAATATCATTCCCATTACAATCCGAGTTAAATTAGCTACACTCCTAAAGACACCAACTTTACGAGCCACCACCAGTGCGAGAGCGAGCTTAAGAGCTGTGGTAGCTCAACAATAGATGTAACACAATATTCCTGTAACCCTCGATGCTGGGAGGAAAAATAATATCCGAGGAGGGCTGTCGGGAGGAGTCTTTTCACTGGGTAATAACACATGGCAGTGCAGAGTCTAATGTGATAGCTCCAGTAACCATAAAAGGTTTAAGAATGCGTTTTTGCTGCGGTGACAATAAGAGGAGAGGCAGCCTTACAGGTGCAACGATCACTTTAGTGAAAGACCTTGTGATCTATGAATTGTACACACTGTTATTCCACTTCCTTCTTCATTTCTTGGTTTTAAAAACACAGACATAATTGTACCATCATATCTTGGCTTGAGTCCCAATGTATTAACACAATATGTCTCTGTTAAAATAAACACTGTGCATTAGGCACTAACGACTAACTGTGATGTCTGCACAGCCAAACAATAGTTATCTGTATTTAGAGCAGGAGCCTGGCGCAGTATGGTCGTGACCAGACTGATCGTCTGAGACATTGCTCATCATGGTCCGCCTGGCAAGAGGGAGGTGACTGTGCGCCTGTAATGCAGTAAACAATCTGGCCAGAAAGTATTACACACTAGCTTTAGTCCAAAAGGAAAAACTGATGTTAACAAACTGGAATTGTTAAACGTGTGTTTGATAGCAGGGGACCTCGTAAATGAGTAATTTTCCATAATTCTACTTCAGATATTACGTCAGGGCAAAAGACAGAAAAGAGAAACACAAGACCAAAGGAAGCATGTACTAACTGATTTAGTAAACCCTGCAGAACTAATGCAATATAACCAGTTGCAGAATTGGTAGCAAGGGGTGAACAAAATGCGGTGGAGCATCAACAAAGTGTTATAGTCTGTAGGCCAGCCGACAGTATGCAGCACGGCATGGCTTCTTTTTTAATTTAAAGGCCACCCTAGTGGGCACTTTTGAAAAGTTTTCTACACTGAAATGGCATCTAAGAAAGCACTTATGCAAACTTTGAGGCACCAAGGTTGATTAATAATCCACCAGTAAACCAGAACCTAAAAGCAGAGATGTAAATTGAGTTTATTGTGATGGTAGAAATTTGACCTTGTGCATAACGGTTCATAAATAAATACAAATGTAGACATCTTAAGAAAAGCTATTGTTAAAACTATATTAACATCAAAAATATTAAAGCATACTCTATTCAAACTTTAAATGATATAGATCAAGGTGTAATATAAAACAGGAAGCATGCAACAGATTTGCCTAGTGACCAAGTTTAATGCTGACAAGTTTGATTGTTTCCTGTCTGATGCAAATCAAAAGGCATTGAACTTTGCTTTCACATGTTTTGAGATACAGTCTTTATCTTTCTTTTTAATCCATGTAATATGTTGATAATGATATACTTCTCCACTGCACAGGAAGTTCTATGTGTGCTTGGCTGACATATGACTTATGGGAAGTTAAAACAAAAATGAAATGGTGTAACAGATATTTGACACTTTAAGGAAATGTTGAGAATAAAAATGAAATCAGACCCACACCTCCTGAGAGTTATGTGCCATTCTGAGTTTTTACTGTCTGAGTTCTCCCTCTCTGTATGTATAGTGACATGCAGATAAGTGTCAGAGCTAATCCGTGACTCCTCAAAGTCTCCAGAACAGCCCTTGGTCAGCAGAATGATTAATACCGCGAAAGACCGACAACATGTGATCTCTGGACTCTACTCAGCTTATGTGGCTGCTTAACTCCTCACTTTTTTTCTGCTGCGTACAGACACTTAGTTCCTGTGCAGCTCATCTGCTCTGAAGCTTGACTTTGAACTGGTGTAGCCTTGAATTCCAATGTGTTTTCTCAATTATAAGCAGAAATGGGGAAGTTCAAAGTTATGTTTTCCTTTTCACACAAAGATTATTAGAATTAGAATAGTACCAGTGAAAAGTGAAGTTGAATTATACTGAGCTCCTGCTTACACAGCAAGTTGGCACTTTGTGATGAATTTAAATAAGTAGACTGGCTAATTAGTGTTTGGGTTAAAAAGGTAATCCTGGAGGCAAAGTGGTAGGGAAACATTTTTAATCAGCAAATCCCTGTGAGTATGACTACTTGTATGCACTCAGTCTGTAACATGAGTAACCTTATGAACCTCATTACAGTAATCCAATTGAAAGTGCTGCGGTCAGAACAAGCAGGCTAGCACTTCATCAATCCATACTTATATTGAAGCATGTCTCTAACAATACATGGCAAATCACCCATGTGATCTAATTTGAAATAACTAAAAAGCAAGTCCAGGCCAGCATTCCCCATCGTCCCCGGGGTCCGGAAGAAAGTAATTACTGATCAAAAAGGTTTTAGATGTTGTAAATTGCATTTATTCAGGCTATGTTATTCTGAAATAAAGTTATTTCTATAACAAGAGCACTCTCAGGCAATATTTTAAGTTATAAAAAGTCCCATTGTCCAATATATGAATGCATGGAGACTTACTGTTCATCATCACATTTGTTACGGCTCGGTCGGGTAGAGGGGTCGTCACACATTGAATACTGTTTGACAAACTGGTCGTTTGCTTGTGCCACAAACCTGAAACCAATAGAACAGCTGTACAAGAGAGCTATCAAGGGGTTTGACAGAAAGCCAAATTCATACCACCACTGTACCATCCTTGAAAAACACAATTTCTTGAGTTTTGACCATTTTAAGTATAAAAGTATGTGTTTTATTTATAAATGTTTACATGGACGGCCCCCCCCCTCCTTAGGGGAATTCATCCACAAAAAACACACTGGACGCTGCACTAGGTCAGAAACCAGAGGAGACTGTGACGTCCACCGCAGACGGACAACTTTTGGACAAAATGTCCTCTCCATTAAAGGCAGCTCATTGTGGAATAGCCTCCCAACTGAGATGCAGGATTGTCCCACTCTCAATAGTTTTGAAGGTCAACTCATAGAATGGTTGAGAAACAAACAGACGTGCAATCACCGCTAAAAGCACTTTAACACAGGGGTATCTCCTCTTGCACTTTAGGTAGCTCTTGTATCTCCTCTTGCACTTTATATGTCGTTGCTGCTAGATTGTACTGCCATGTGGTAAATACTTGTGTGTGCTTCTCTTGCTCTTTTTGCATATCATGTATTTGTCTTTGCTATATGTATAAATGTCATGTTCTTAAATGTTTTGTGAGGGATTGCGGTTGGAAATTAGCTCCAAGCTAAAATCCGGCATATTTACACTATTTGCATTTTCTTGTTTTAAGTGTTCATTAATGTGCATTGTCCCTGCTAAATAAACGATTAAATGAAAATGAAGATATTAATTGTCATTTTTTTTGTATCACACTTTGAACTCAATGAACTCCAGCTAAGCCTTCTTCTTTGTCTCCAACTAACAAAAGCTACTGTCCCCTGCTGTCCAGCTCTACTCGGCTGTAACACTTCACTCCCAAAGGGCTGCAGGTC